CTTTCAGGATTGAGTTTGGGTCCCAGTGGAACGTGAGATGGGATCCAGATTCCTAGAGTGGCTGATGGGGGAGAATCCCGAGAAAGGTTCGGGGCATTAGGACCAGTGGTCGTTGGAGCAACCAGGGATCTGTCACGTGAAATATTATGTAGGAGTCTTCCCCGCGCTCTTATTAAATTCCATCTTCCACACTTGACATTAGAAAGGGAATGACCACTAAGGCTGGGAGTACAGTCCCTTCCCCCCTCCCCCCCCCCATTTGCTGTCCTCTGCAAGGACCAGAGTGGGGCTGGGCAGAGAAAGCAGCAGGTGGCAGTTCCCCACCTCCACCGAATGCGGTCCCCTCAAGAGAGGAAGTGACTGATTCCAGAGACTGTCTCCTTCCCGAATAACCCCCGGGCACAAAGGTCCTTCCAGAAGGGTCCCTGCAGACGCTGTGGTAAAAATGGAATTGACCTCTGGGGCTGCCTATTGCAAGGGCTGGAAGGATCTAGAGGCGTGGCCCAGACCTGAAGGGAGAGGGGATTGGGATTTTAGAGCAGTCTGAATTCCCCCTTACTAACCGCCTGACCAGAAGCAAATTGCTTTAAATTTTCTGCTTCCTCAGACCACTCACCTCTAAAATGAGACTCGAAATACTACCTACTGGGGTGAGCTAAGGATAGTAACTACCCTGGAAACGGCGCGTCCCGCCCCCAATCAGGCGGACTGAGACAGGTGGCGGGACCAGGCACAGCGCCTTCTTGAGTCCACCCTAGAACAGGACAGGAATTAGGGATTCCATACCGGCTCATGATAGAACAATCCAAAAAGTGTTTGTGTGGGAGGTGCTAGCAAAAGCTTGCAAACTCTCTGCGCCTCTCTCAGGTTTCTTTGTGTGGTCTTCTCTCCTTCCTCCTCCACACCCTGCGGTGCCAGGCCTAGGCGGGAAAGGATAAGGGAGGAGTGGACTGCCTCGCCCCTTTCTCCAGCCTGGGAGGAGCCCGCTGGCACCTCGGGCAACCGAGGACCGCTGCCCACCTCTACCGCGAGGGGTCAGCAGAGTGTTGTGGCCGCTGCCAGAGTTGGGGAGGGGGCTGGAGCGGGGTAGGGACGGCTAGGAGTGGCCGGGAGAATGCGTGTACATTTCCTCATTAAACTGTTTTTAGAACCTTGTCTGAGATTTCTTTTTTACTGTCCTGCTCCCCGAGTTGGCGACATCTCCCAAGGGAAATCCTGAAAACCTTTTATCCCTAGTCCCAGGCCCAGAAGGTCTGCAGTGGTGAGTCTGAGGGCTTCCGGAACAAAGTTTGGACAGTGCCTCTCAGCCTAGGCCACGCCCAGGTAGTCCCTGGGCCACCGAGAGGTGGAGCTGGAGGGCGGGAGGGGGCAGTGGGGTGAATCATCCTGAAAAGCGTTGTAGCTCTGGGAGAGGGGGAGCTCAGCCTGGATTGGGGGACCTATCCCCTTAGCAGCCGGGCCTCTTTTTGCCAGGCGGCCATACCCTAAAGCCGGGTCGCTCTTCCTCCGGTCTGCGCGCTCCAGCTGCCACGTGCTCGAGACGCGCCCACACAGCAGAGAAACAAAGACAGCCGAGCGATGGGGCTGCCAGTAGCCGCCTCGACATTTAATAAATGAAATTCCATAGCTGGGGGTCGATCGGGGGTGAATGGGCGGCCACCGCTCGTGGGCTGTGCGCCGGGTAAAGAGCGGCCAAGCCGCTCCTTTTCATCGCCCAGCCTAGGGCCATCAAGCCCACAGACTGACTGCTTGGTGCGGGTGCAGCATGGGGCGGCAGGTGGTGCTCCCCCCGCCGCCGACCCCCACCCCCACTGCGAGGTACCTTTGCTTGCAGAAACCCCGCCAGCTGAGCGGCTGGCTGTGGGGGGAGGGGAAGCCTGCAAAAAAAAAATTTTTTTTTTAAGGTGCGATTATAAATATACCCTGTGGATCGCGATTTCAAACAAACTTGTCAATCTGGGCTGCAGCAAAAGGCGATGGAGGCAGCTTTGCTTGTATTTCGGGTGGTGTGACTCATGAGCATTACTTGTCTCCCCCAGGGAAGCAGCCTGCCCACCCACAAGTCACTGCTGCTCTGGCACCGCTGGGATAAAATCGACCAACCCCGAACCCCTGCCCAAGGACTTTCCCTCCTCCCTCCTTGTTACTGAGCAGTACCCCCTACCCCCTTGGGAATCTTCCCTTAATTCTGTCACCACCGACCTGGCCCCCAGGCCTGGTCCTGGCCACCCGTGCTCTGTCCCCACAAGCAAAGTGCTCTGGCATTTTGCTGCTGCAGGGATGGGGGTTGGGTGCACGCGGGGCACACGTGTATGGGGGAGCATGCTCAGTGCAGGGGTGCACCCACGTGCGGCCCGCGCCTCCGCTTCCTGTCCCCCCCACCTACGCCAAGTCTCTGTGTGAAGTCCAGGAAGAAAGGCCACCACAAGAAAAGGTCCCTGTGTGTTATGTGCACACGCCCTGGACACACAAACCTGCGGTGGCCCAGAAACACCGTGGACTTATACAAGACGAAATGCCAAGTGGATATTACTGCACACAGGCACAGTGGTCACTCCTCGGGAGGTCCTTAAAAAGTGCCCAGATTTTTTCCTCTTGGGATGGAAGCATGGATGAGGTACAGATGTATTTTTAGTTGGGAGGCAGGGGAACACCTGGGCGTCCATATTGTTGGTGTCGTGCATAATCAACAAGGGTGTGACCACACACACACACCTGGACCCACAGATGAGGACACATGGGGGACCAGGACACACATGCTACCCCAGCCAGACATAGGCGGGTACCCCAAACAGCCTCTTGACGGGGAAGGGGGCCTGGGCCTCCAGCTCCTTACTCTCTTCCCTGTTCCCCAAGGGTCACTGTCCCCGGGGCCGAGCCCCCTGGACCACCCTCTACCTGGAAAGCGAAGCGGATGGGGCTGTGAGGGTAACTCACACTGCCGCGGGGCCGGAGAGTGCCAGAGCAGAGGCCAAGGCCGAAGGCGATGCTGCCCTCTCCGGCCTGTCTAGCGGAGGCCGCGCGGCCCCTTTAAGCACCCCCGCCCCCTCCCGCCCGCGCTCCCGGCTTCCTTTCTCTGGGAGGCGCGGCCCGCAGGGCCGGGCGGCGGGGCGGGAGTGCAGGCTGCCCCTCCCCCGGTGGGCAGGGCCTGCGCCGCTTCCTGCAGGAGCGGCCCGGAGCCGCGCAGGGGGCGGAGAGAGCGAGCGG